AACGATGTGGTGGACTCTTGGTCAGGGAAGAGAAGGATTCGTTTGGGTCTGATAGATAAATGGCTCGCTTAAGAAGGATCATATACACTCTATGAATGTCATACATAGTGCAGATATGTCTGAACTCAGAGGTATGAAGGTAAAACCCTGACTTTTGTGTTTGTGACAGGACTAAAGAGGGGGGGCCGTGAAGCTTTGGGATCAGGAGATGAAGCGCTGCAGAGCGTTCCAGCTGGAGACTGGGCAGCCGGTAGAGAACGTCCGCTCCGTCTGCAGAGGGAAGGTATGACACACTAATCATTTCATCACACTAGAGTCTGACTCAGCATAACTGGAAGATGATGTCAGCAGTTTCTATTTGCTGCAATCACTGCAAGTCAGCGTTTGCTAGTTTTGATTCATTTTTAAGGTCGACTAAAGACTTTTATGAAATAAGCGGTCACTTTATCATTTCACTAACTACACATCTCACTGATTGGTCCTTTCTTTCACCCTGATGGTTTCAGGGTAAAATCCTGGTAGGAACCAAAGACGGAGAGATCATAGAGGTTGGAGAAAGAACGCCGCCTCCAACACCATGATCAACGGACACACTCAGGGGGGCATCTGGGGTTTGGCGACTCATCCTTTCAAAGACGTCTTCATCTCTGCCATGATGATGGGACCATCCGGATATGGGACCTGGCTGATAAGGTACAGTCTGAGGACTGGGGGTAGATATACGGAGGTCTTTGAATGCAACATGTAACGATGTCTTCGATGATTCTGTGTTAGAAACTTCTGAATAAGGTGAGTTTAGGTCATCCTGCAAGTGCACCTCCTACAGTCCAAACGGAGAGATGGTTTCCATCGGGATGGAGAACGGCGAGTTCATCGTCCTGCTGGTCAACTCGCTCACCGTGTGGGGAAAGAAGAGAGACCGCAGCGTGGCCATCCAGGACATCCGGTACACCTTCAGATAAACCTGCACCACGGAGGGCTTCTTTTTCTGTGATGGTTACTAAACTTGTGTTTCCTGCTGGTCCAGGTTCAGTCCAGATAACAGGTTCTTGGCGGTGGGTTCAGTGGAAAGTGCCGTGGATTTCTACGACCTTTCTCTGGGTCGTCCTTGAACAGGATTGGCTACTGTAAGGACATCCCCGGCTTCGTCATCCAGATCGACTTCTCTGCCGACAGCAACACATCCAGGTAACAAAGCTTCAAACCTGGACTACCTGGTGAGGTTCAGTCTGACTCTGTTTAACGGTCCCTCTTTGATTTCATCCCAGGTGTCCACCAGCACCTACACTCGCCAGGTGCACGAGGTGCCCTCGGGGAAGTGGTCACAGATCAGGCCGTCTTTGAGAGGATCACTTGGGCTACCTGGACCAGGTACACAAAGGAAACATGAAAGTGGAGGAGGTGTCAGAGGAAGGGTGTAGGAGACTAAATACACACGGGGGAAATCCAGACAGGTCTGAACACTATGAGGACAGAGCACTCAAACTAGACATGGAACACGAGAACACGAGAAGTACTACAAAATAAACAGGAAACACTGAGGGAAGTACTACAAAAATAAAACAGGAAACACTGAGGGGAAGTACTACGAAATAAAACAGGAAGCACCAACAAGTAAACAGACTCCAGGACGTCATCAACACAAAGATATCAAATGATATCTGAATAATTAAAAGTAGAAAAAGAAAGAACAGAAGGACTGAGTGTAGAGGACAGAAAACTCTCTGACAGAAACAAACTTTACAACAATAGGAAACACAACAGAGGAACATCTAGAGCTTAGAGAACAAACTGATGACCTTGAGGAAGAATCTGAAGTCCTAAAGAAATAATGTAGAACCCGATGGAAATAAACTCCAGACCCAAACAAACTGACTGTAGAGCCTGACATGAGAAACATCAGAATCCCAGGGAACCACATCAGGAGGTAACGTTAGATCTGAGGGAACTCAAACTTTTACTACAATCATATCAAAGTTTAAAGTTCTGTTGTCATGACGACCTCATCGCGTCCCCTCAAATGAAGCATCGACTGTATTGATCTTGGTGTGACGTTGTGTTTTGTTTTTTCCAGCATCCTCGGCGACGAGGTTTGGCGTTTGGCCTCGTAACACTGAGAAGGCCGACGTGAACTGTGCTTGTGTTTCACACGCCGGTCTCAACCTGGTGACTGGAGACGACTTCGGCCTCATCAAGCTCTTTGAATTCCCGTGTTCAGAGAAATTCGTAAGTGATATAAGTATGAAAACGTGACAATGAATCCTGTGAGAGTGGCATCACTGAATCACCTGTTGGCTCCTCCTCTGGCGTCTCACAGGCCAAACACAAACGATACTTCGGCCACTCAGCCCACGTGACAAACATCCGCTTCTCCTGTGATGATAAATACGTCATCAGTGCTGGAGGCAGCGACTGCAGGTGAGATTCAGTCAGAGCAGTTTATGAAGACGTAAGAGGCTGTAATCCGCTCTCAGTGAATCACATTTAAAATGATCGTCTCTCTGTTTCTCCTCTACAGTTTGTTTGTGTGGAAATGTCAGTGAGATCTTCCTTTCCTCCTTCCTCTCCTCCTCCTCCTCCTCCTCCTTCCTGTCCTCCTCCTTCCTCTCCTCCTCCTCCTCCTCCTTCCTGTCCTCCTTCTTCTCCTCCTCCCTCTTCTCCTCATCCTTCCTGTCCTCCTCCTTCTTCTCCTCCTCCCTCTTCTCCTCCTTCCTCTCCTCCTTCCTCTTCTTCCCCTTCCTCTCCTCCTTCCTCTCCTCCTCCTACTTCCTCTCCTCCTTCCTCTTCTTCCCTTTCCTCTCCTCCTCCCTCTCCTCCTCCTCCTTCCTCTCCTTCTTCCTCTCCTCCTTCCTCTCCTCCTACTCCTTCCTCTCCTTCTTTCTCTCCTTCTTCCTCTCCTCCTTCCTCTCCTCTTACTCCTTCCTCTCCTTCTTCCTCTCCTTCTTCCTCTCCTCCTTCCTTTCCTCTTCTTCCCCTTCCTCTCCTCCTTCCTCTTCTCCTCCTCCTTCCCCTCCTCCTTCTTCTCCTCCTTCCTGTCCTTCTTCTCCTGTGATGCTGCACTCGTCTGCTGAGCCTCGGCCCCTTAATCTGAGAGAAAACCACCAGGACGTCAGACGAAACAACGAGTTTCAATCTTCTGACGGCTGCTGACAGACTGGATGCTGTGACGCGTTCTGCTGCGTGAGGCTCCGCCCCCTGTCAGTGGAGTCTCTCTACCTTCCCGTACATTGAGACGCATCCATGTGAAACTGAACTTGATCTTTCAGGTGTTTGAACCTCTTTCAAGAACTCGTAGCTGTTTTTTCATGTAGCATCGTTTCTGTTTGTCAGTACGTGCCTTTCTCACAAACTCTGACCAAACATTTGATACAACTTGATTTATAACGGTGGTGCTATGAGTCGGGATCATTTAGGGCTTTTTACTGAGTGCTGTGGTCGTTTCGTTTTTGTATCTCGTACTGTCTCGTGATGATGACGCAGTTTGACTGCTCTGCACTGAAAAACTCCAGAAAGATGGATCTGTGTTGATCCCAGCTGTTAAACATTAAAATAGTCTATTAAGAAAAGAGAGAGAATTCTACCTCAGAATACTATAAAGAGAAACTATAAAGATCATATCTACAGTAGAAATAGATTTTAGAGCATTACGTGACAGAGCACATGTTGTTATGGTGACGTAGTTTCTGTTTTTTTGTCCACTGTAGAAATAAAACTTGATGAAACTGAACGTTGATTTACAAACGTCTGAACAGGATTTAAAGGGAAAAAGCTACAGTGACCTTCTTCTCGACAGAAACGAAGCAGAGCTCAAATAAACTGACATCACTCTATGATCAGACATTAAAGAAACCAGTTAGTATGTCCTCCTTCTAACTTTAGATTCTGGTCCTGAATGCTCTGGATTTGTTTGGACCAGAGAAGGTAGGCGGTGGGGGGGAGACAGCTCTCTATGATGTTTAGAATTTAGACTGCAGTACCCATTTTAAACACTAGGTGTCAGAGTTAAAGATTTTTATTCCATATTCAGTTTCCGACAGATAAAATCTAAAACGAGGGCGGATAAAATGGAAAATGCTAAAAGTGTTTTTTGTCTTTTAAAACCCAGAATTATTTAACTTATTTATCATATTTATAATATAGCTTTTAGGTATCAGTCGTTAGCGGTTGTTTTGTAGGATAAAGTCGGTAATTTATGAGTTTAGTTTGACTCCTAAAAGTTAGATTAACAGAATCCGACATTTCCCTGAAAGATATCAGCTGTAGCTGCTGGAGAGAAACGTGTATGATCAAGTGTTTTATTTTAAAGTTTAAAGGGTTAATAGTTGTTATATTCTTAATAATAGCACAAAAACAACGTGGATGCAACAGCCGACGTGTTCTCAGAGTTTTTCTGTTTCTGTAGCGAGAAGAAATCCATAATTTCCCCTCATCTTGTCTGAAATGTTTTTGTCTCGTTTTGTTGATGTTTTTTTACAGTTTATTTTTGGGCTTTTATATTGTTATGAGAAATATAGGACAGTGGGTAGAGTCAGAAATCATGGGGGGGGGGGGAATGAACCTGGGCCGCCTGCTTGGAGGATCACAGCCTCCGTTCAGTGTTTACGTAAGGTCACTGGAGGCGGTGTATTCCTCCACCAGGCACGATGACCTTAATAAAATCCTGTAGTCTGTGATGTGTCGTTATTTTCATATCTTGTGGTGTGAGCATGACAAGATTATAGAGAAGAAGATATGTTAAGATTCTCCTGATGTGTTTGAAAATTTCTAAATCAGCCCGTGTCAGGCTCGTCTGATTTCACGACTCGTGGAGTCCCACAGGGTTCAACGTTCGGTCCCTTTAATTTTAACTTTTTAATATTTTATTCAAACAGATATAACCTGGAGATATTTTATATTTGACATTGTACAGGCCTCACAAAGCAACAAAATATCAGGACATTTTGTGTAATTACAGATTTTAACGAGCATGAACCTTTAATTTCCACCCAAATACGAATTGATTCTGGCAGTCTGGTTTTGTGAAATGAAAGCTGTTTGTGTTCCTGAGAATT